AGACCATGCTGCATTATGCTGGTTAAGATAATTAACGAACCTAGAGGAACAACTGGCACGTTGGATCGGAAAGATAGTCCAGTATAATTATAATATTGAATATAGAGATGGAAAATCTCATGGAAATGCTGACGGTCTGAGCCAAAGACCCTGCAAAAATGACTGCAGACATTGCTGCAAAAAAGAGGTTGAACTAACCAGGTGCCATCAAGCTGAAGTCAAAGTGACTGAAGGAGTTGATGATGGTGAAACGGAACCAATTACAGATATTAAAGCAGAACAGGAGGAAGACCAAGATTTGAAGCCAATAATTGATTTTCTACAAGCAAGTGTTTTGTGCCCTGCTTGGGAGAAGGTGTGTAGCTTAAGCCCTGTGACAAAGAACTATTGGGCACAATGGGACCAGTTGAAGCTTGAAGATGGTATTCTTCTCCAGGGATGGGAAACTGCAGATGGAAAAGTGATGACCTGGCAAACAGTTATACCAAGGAAGTTACAGGAAGTTGTGTTGCATCAATCCCATAATATTTTAACAGGAGGACATCTTGGAATTAAAAAGATATTGAGTCACCTACAGCAGAGATTTTACTAGATAGGTATGAGGCAAGATGTGGAAAAATGGTACAGGACCTGCAGTACATGTTGTGCTAAAAGGGACCCAAGCATAAGGGATGTGCTCCAATGAATTTATATCAAGTTGGTGCACCAATGGAAAGAGTAGCCTTTGACATTGCTGGTCCTTTGCACCAAACTCGTGCTGGAAACAGGTACACTTGTGTGGTGATGGATTATTTCACCATGTGACCTGAGGCATATGCAATACCAAATCAGGAAGCTACAACTGTAGCTTCGGCTATTAGTGATTTCATTCGTTAGATTTGGTATGCCATAGGAATTGCATTCAGATAAGGGCCGTAACTTTGAATCAGCTGTGTTCCATAAATGCTGCAAGTTGTTTAGCATACAAAAGACCAGGACAATGCCACTTCACCCACAGTCTGATGGGATGGTAGAAAAGTACAATTGGATACGGGACAGTTATTGGCAAAGTTTTGTAATAGCCATCAAGATGACTTGGATGATGGCCTATGGAACAGTAGAGCATGAAGCCACTGGATACACTCCAGCAAAGCTGATGTTTAGTCGGGAACTTTGGTTGCCAGTGGACCTGACAACAGGATGCCCACCTTACGAAGAGTTGCTTGAAAATGTGTCAGAGTTCGTGAAAGTGTTATCTGAAAGGATGGATGATATTCATCATCAAGTGTGTTCAAACTTAAAAACATCTGCTGATTCCATGAAGCTATGTTATGATAAGAGATCTATTGAAGTCAGCTTTGTACCAAGAGACAAGGTGTGGTTGTATAATCCCAGGAAAACCATAGGGAAGTCCCCTAAGTTGTCTTCTCCACGGGAAGGCCTATATGACATAGTGGGTCGTCTCTCAGACGTGACTTTCCGAATAAAATGTGGTCGGCAAAGTAAGCCAAAGGTAGTGCATGCCAACAGGCTTTGGCGTTATCACAGTCCAGGACATTTCAAGTGGAATGAAATGAAAATGGAACAAATGATGCTGCTGAAGACGTGTCACCTGAAAAAGCCACTGTCAAAGAAGAAACTCTACCCAGTTTTGAGAAGGGAAACACTGAAGCCGTTAATGAAGTTACTACCACTGATGTGACTGCTACCGATAATGGGACATTTCCTGATGGAGCAGATGAATCCCATGTGAAGCAGAAGCCAATGAGATGGAGACCAGTACGGAAGAAGATATGTCCTTTGTTGTATTTGAATTGTGTGTTTGTAAATTCTGCACATTTAATTAGGTTATTGTTAATTATCTATTGGTTAAATGTAAGTGGCTATTGTTCGGGATGAACGGGCAGTGTTATGACAGCGGAAGTCACACGATGCTGGAGCATGTGCGCTGGAGTTTCTCGAAGGATCGTGAATTTGCCTGCCAGCTCGAGTGTGATCTAGATGCCCTCTTTTTTAGTATATATAAGCTTGGTAAAGAAAGCCAGTGACAGATAGATAATTGAGT